AAGTGAACATAAAAAAGAATGTTTCTGTTGAAAGGTGTTGCTTACCTTGCTCTAAATGGGGATATACATATATAATGGGTGACGTTTTGAAGCGAGAACTAAGTTGATAACGATAAACTTATGATAAAGGTGACTATATTTAGAGCGCTAACAAGCTGCTGACAAAACAGAACGAATCAAAAAAACAGGAAGAAGACAGAAGTCAAGGCAAGCAATGACTGAACTACCGGTTTCGAACGTACCAACAACTTAGAAGTTGTACATCTATAGCGTTTGTGAAGAGCAAGTTCGAGATTTTTATGGATTCCAGTTAAATTGGACCCCGTTATTACGAAGGCATCCCGTGACATATGGCGCTCATATTCCGTTCTATGCTCCATTTTTTTGATGAACTGTGTGCTCGATATGGCATATTAGCAGCTAAATTTTGGGACTTCCTTCACTTCTTCGAATTCCTCAATCTGGTTTTCTTATTAGAGCTTCGATTTACAGAATGAATTTTTAGGATGATGGAAAAATATAGTCGTTTTCCATGTTAAATCACCCTCGTAATTAATGAGTATGAAAAAAGCGAAGTCGTCAGCGACAATCTATCTCCAATGTATAATTATAATTCCTTTCAGAAAGCAATTGATTAAATTGATCTTAAAATACCGTATACAGAAAAGAACTCTTATTACTTTTATAAAATTTAAACTCTCGTAATGTATATAATAATTTTACATCATAGTGACAAAAATTTTGCGTATGATAATCGCGGTATTTAAATAATTATAGAGTCTGATTACAAAACTGCTAAAAAATTTAATACTTTTTAAAACCTTTATACCTTTCATTATATATATATATATATAAATATATATATATATATATATATATGTATATGTATATATATACATTTTTTCTAAAGTTAATATGATGCACATTTTGGTGATTGCTATTATCTCGATGACAAATCTTGCTGTATTCTATTACTGATTGTAATGTAAGATCAAGGGCACAAAAAATTAGTCTACACGTTATCAAAATCTCCATTGCGCGTTGTTTTATAAATAGCAACGGTGATATCATCGTGCACATTATGCAAGGTAAGTTGCACGTTGATAACCCCGACCATGGCATGAATACGACATATATCAGAGAAAAAAGTTTTTAATTTCAATATATATCCAATATATAGATTAATGACCATTTCTACAAATGTAGGTTAATTTTAATCTAGATTGAATTAACTTCTTCTGTTTCTAGTTCTAAGAATTAAAAAAAGATGAACAGTAAGTCATACAGAGAAGTGATTAATGTTAGAGTTAACCATGTTAACATAGTTTTAAGTTAACTCTAATATTAATATACATTAATAAAAATATAGATTAAAGTTAATCTGCATTGGTATTTGTATTGATAAATAAGACAAGACATAAGATTGGGATTGCCAATCGTCTGGTTTTAAACCGGACTGTCAGGTATTCGGGAGTCTTGTTCAGTATCCGGTTGAAATCATACAGACATCATGTGTCCGGTTTTTAAATATATCTAATAAATAAAATAAAATTTACATTATAAAAAGAAATTTATAAATAGAATTCGCGGATTTCAGTAATGTTTCTTCATTTTAAACATATAACGCTACCTACCGATATTTAGGGCATTTTGCTAAACACGTGGAGTGAGGAAAACGCCGTTTAAGACCTGGTATCTTTAATCAGGAACTTAATTTGATTTGATATATAGTGAAACGTAATTATTAAATGCACAGGAATTACATTTACATTAAAGAACGTATCTTTGACTTGATATGTGTATAGAAATTAAAATTTTGACTTGAAATTTCTATGTCTACGACTGTCATGTAATAAATTTATAAAGTATGTCAGATCTAAATCTAATTTATTAAAACTAATATAAAATGCAGAGAAGTATAACCAATTAATTGATTAATGATTAATAATTAATTAATGATTGATCAATTTTATGATCTTACAACAGACTACAATCCTCAGATTATAATATTTTATATTTTAACAGATGTTAAATATAATAAATATAAGAGACATTTTTTAATTTTGTGTTTTTTTTAATAATAAAATTATTTTATATTAAGTAATAGTCTATTATTTTTTATTGAACCGAAATTCTGATTTCAAAATTTTGGAAAATTATATTATAAGCAATTTCTCTAATTAAATTTTATATTTGATCTAATTTTATAATTATAATTTTTGTCCGGTTTGTTCAGCTAAGTTTCTACTAAAAAGAAAATATTCAGTAATTTAGATCAGACAACTCTGCATAAAATACTAAAATAAATAAAAAAATAGAGAAGAAAGTTTCTTAAAGAAATTTGATTACTAAGTTTAATTTACTTTAACTTCTCCTTGTTAGTATTATATATTGATGTCACAATCCTGTGCATTATATGATAGTTACAATGACAAAAAATTGAGGCAGCAGTTTTGATGGTGGTATCGATCGTGCGCGAGCAATACTTTCAACTTGAAGAAACATTGAACTAAAATATCTCAAGACGTATTTCTGTCTGCCCTGTATAACAGGGTACGAGATATTGAAGCTTACCGCTCGTAACGGGATGTCAAATGTTCTTTTCGATCCTGATGAGGCACAGACCTTGCTTTGACACCCGCATGCCTTCTAACTCTGTCGTTATTTTCTCTTTCATTAGCCGCCAGTTAAATAAAAACATTGGTCAAACATCAGTCTTGATTATACCCATCAGACGATTTTTTATGCAATTTTTATAACAAAGTGACTTCTGTCATTATTCATTTTCAATGGATAGTATTTGTGCTTATGAATTTCTCATTTTGATAAATAATTAATAAAAAAACTGTTCTTTTAAATTGAATTATATACTAAATATTGATTTTATATACACTTAGAGAGAATATAATGATGGTAACTATACATGATGATAACTATACAATTTTTATATATGAAATTAATATACATATATATGCAGTTAAATAAACTATTTTATAGTTGTAATGACTAAATAATTTATTCAACTATGTGTGTGCATTAATTCTATATACATATAAAACTTTTAATTTTGATATTTAATAAACAATTTGAGTTTATCTTTTTATCTTCTCTAATCAATTAAAATACATTACTTAAGTATTTTAAAAGAAAAAAATGTACCGTCATTTACTTAGAATAAATGATTCATAATGATCTTTGTACCTTGCCGGATGCGGTGTACTTAAGGAAAAAAGCTGTACAAAGATTGGATTGCACGCGCACTGAAAATCGCATTAATTAAATGTATTGGAATTCCAACAGCTGAGTCAGAAATTTCGTATTTACACATGTGAAGATATTTCTACGAAAACATGCAGGGTTTGCTGATGAGATGAAAATCTTTTTGCAGTCACACACATAACAAGGATACCAGGCGTTGTATATTTATGTCAACGCTGTGGTACCTTCGGTTTCGTTAAGGTGCCACTTGTTAGATTCGATATTTCCCTCGAAATCTTCGATTCTCGATCATTGTAAAACTCTACTGAGAATTTCGAGGCGAATTTATATCGAATTATACGTATTTCTTCTACAAGCGCGCTAACAAATAAAAAAAAATAAAAATGTGTAGAAAAGAACATTTATATCTTTATGCTTAATCAAAAGATTCGATAGCCTTTGTCTTAAGGTGGAACTTAAATATTGCGAATCATTTCCTTTCAATTATGAAACTGTAAATCAGTCATCTACGATATCATCTTTTGAGGAACCTCCATGGCGTCTATAAATAAAAGATAAAATATAATAATAATGTACTATAACCTCCACGAATTTAACTCATAATACGTGATTGCACCAGTACGCAATGAACGCTATTGTTGACATTGTAATAAGGAGATTGAGGGTATAATCCCATGATTGTCATCGAAACGTGTTTATTTCACACGATAAAGACTCAACCGGATCTAGACTGGATTTCATAACCCAGGTTCCTGTTTCCTGTAACGATTTCATGATTTATACGAAACTTCGACGAAATTATTCCTTGGATGAATGTGGAAGCGCGTTCGAATATACACTCGTGAGACGTGTGTATCGGATCAAAGGACTTTCGACAAAGTGATAAAAGCAACTGACTCGTAAAATCTTACCGACGAAAACTCGTGCTTCGAGGGAAGACCCCTTTACGTGTAAACATATGTTCGCGACACCCAAGCTAGCAAGCCGTTGATTTGTGGCACTGGCACCTGAACATTTTTAATGCTGAAAATGTGGGAAGTTTCTTTTAATGCAGAGATGAGTGTTGTTATATTTATAAGACCGCTAATACTTGTTAATAAAGTTTGTTAAAAGAATTATTTAAATAACAGTGTACATATGGAAATTTTTCCAAACAAGAAAATTAAATAAAGTAATTAATAATAGCACATAATAGGTTTCGTACCCAATAAATATAACAAAATTATTTATCGAGTTATTTATTTAAATAAATGAACAACTTTATGGATTCTTTCTTTCCACATGTCTGCGTCTTTTCAGTCTTTATTATATATTCTAGCTATTTTAGACGAAATTATATTTGTTATTCTAAATCCGCATAGATCCGGTAAGCGGATATTAATATGGATGTTAACATATGCCTACGCGCAGTGGCATCTGTGAATGGGGTGATCTGGTGTCTGGTTTATTTTCGGTGCACGCATCCCCATATAACCAGTCATATCGGAAGGGTTGATAGCGTTTTATGTCGCGCGCGTGGCCAACGTCTGAGTTAATTATGGACTGATTGTCAAGGCCCGCGTTTTTTTATTAACTGTACCACCAAACAGGACGTCGCCTTCCTGTGCTACTGAATTTAGCTTACAACTGAAAGAATTTCTACCCCTTTTATGGTATATTTTCCGACAAGAACGAGACATTAACGAGATATTTTTAAGAAAGAAGGCTCTAGAGTGGATAGAATAATTCATTATTGATATAAAATATTCATATTAATGGAAAATTTTCAATTTTCTTTGCAGACCACCATCAAGGTCTACGCCAACTGCCTGCGACCGGACATCGAATATAAAACCCTAAGCATCACTTATGAGACGACCTGTCGCGAGGTCGTACAAAATCTTCTGAACAAGTATCGCATGAGACATCGCGACCCCCGGTTGTTTTATTTGACCATGGAGGTGACCGTGAGGAGGGCCAATGTGCGTACCATCCTGCCCCTTGACGAGGACGCGAGGCCAGCTGTCCTGCAATCCTGTCATCCTCGCGGCGATTCCAAGTACGTTCCTTGCCTGCCTTTGTACTTGACCACCGGCCCTTTCAGTTTCGGTCGGCTTCGTGACGTAATTTCAGGGCTGACGAACTATAAACACATCCCGTAGGCCGCCAAGCACGAGTTAACAATGGTTCGACGTTCTTCGCGTTGCTCACTGATATAACTCTTGGACACAAATAAATCGCTGTAAATCTTTGATATACGGTTTGCAAAGAATGTAAATATGGCTATTGGATTACGAAACAAAATGGAATTTTGATAGCGGCTGTAAATGTTATAGATCGTTGTGAAGAAACACGGGGACGTTTTTTGAGATTCCACGCGCGCCAAGTACGCATCGTAATGCTGAAGTTGCGACACGATACGGCATTACAGTGGATGAAAAATATTACAACTCACTTATAAAAAGAATGTTTGAATGTAGCTCTTTGATGATTAGAACGGGTTTATTTGCGAAGGAAATCCCTACGAGGCCGATGTTTTCTCGGCAGTCTGAGACTTCCGGCGCGACTATACGCGTAATAGAGCAGGACGAGAGCGTTTGTCTCCCGACGCAAAACCGGTGCTTTTATATAGAAATAACGCTCGGTCTGGTGTCCTTTGAACTCACCGACTCCTGCTGTTGTCATGGAATCTCTGATGCATAAACTTATGTGCTTATATATGCCTCCTCTTTGTTGCAGGTTTTCGTTGCAGACACACCGTGGCGGACTTGTCAAAATATACGACAGCGCTCTCATGTCCGGGGTAAATAAATATTTATTCTATACATACAAAATAAAAAAAACAAACTACATCTTAATACTAAATTCTAATGTAAAATGTTATATGTATAAGAAAAATTCTTGTAAAAGAAATTTGTAATTTATAATAAATTGTAAATTGCTTTGTAATATATTTTCTATCCTATAAACGCTAAATATATATATAGTTTGAAAATAAAAAATATATTTAAGTACTATACAATTACTGGTAAATTACTTTTCGCATAATATAGTATCTATTTTAAAAACTAATAATTTCACTTCTAAAAGTATTATTTAAGTTTTTTCAAAGTATTTAAAGCGGTAGTAAAATTATTACTTAAAAAGGAGTTTCAGTATGTATTGCAGTAATTGTGAGTAAACTCGGTTTATTGTTCGCAGTCTAAGTACAAAAGCCTTCTGGTCTCAGAGCAGACCACCGTAGACGAGTTGATCCAAATGCTGCTAAGTTGCTATAGCTCCAAAGAACCGGTGGAGCAATTCTCTCTCTACGAGGTCTGCGAAGGTGAAGAGTACCAAAGGAAATTACATCCCGATGATTCTCCACTCAAAGTCACGCAACGGTGGACCAGTGCGGATCGGCATCTTCGCATTAGGCGTAATCCAGATTATAATCAACATAGGCGGAGGGTATGTGATAGTAAATTCATTAAATTAGTATTTTTGCAAAAAATATTTGGTCAAATATAATTAGGTTAATTCTTGATATTACATTTTAATTGGAAAATACATTCGCGAAAGAATTGTATTACAGTTATTATTTATAATTTTGCTTTGTCTATATAAGCTGTCTCATATAGTGAATCAGCTTCTCTACTATCAATCTCTAAGAAACAGAGAGTATGAGACATTACACTTTCAAACAAAGAAATTACAATTGTAAAATCCAATCCGTGTAATTATACTGTCATCAGAATTATTCATAAGTGCTTAATAGAAAGTCAAATCTGTTACATAATCCAACGTCATTTCAGAGTATGTGGGCGTCGGACTCAAGCATTACCATGGCGATGTCGAGGCTGGATCTCCAGGATAGTCTTCCTATCCATTACAATACGAGAATCGAAAACAATAATCATTTGGGCCTACATCATCTCGCTAGAAAAAACAGCGTTACCGCAAATAACAACAACAATAACGTTATTCATCGGGATCAACATCACTCATCGTCGTTAGGTTCCATCAGTCAGACGTCACGAATCGTCGTATCCCACGGAACGGATCTTCCGCAAGTGCAGCTGCCGCGGTTGCAGCAATTTCCGCAGAGCGTTCCGTCGACGCCGCTCTCAACAAAACACGTCACTGCCTCTTCCTATGCCGATTACGAGAATTATCTTTTTATATAAGAAATCGTAAGCACGATAGAAGTTGAAAGAAGCTGCGTCGATCGCGAAAACGGTCAGAGTTACCAGAAACTCGTTGAAGATACGAGAAACATACGCATATTGCAACTGTTCGATAGCATTTGTCTTTGTGTAACATTTAGACGTCAAATACTATGAGCACTATGAAGCGTGAGCAATGTATACCTTTGATTTTTATTTAAAAAGGTAGCTTACCTTCTTTTGTTACAAATGTACATTCGAATTATCGTTGCTTTTACTCATTTTAATTAATCCTGCTATAATAGTTTGATGAAGTTCATTAAAGGAATACGAAAAATACATGATAATTTTCGATGGCCGTTATTTATATATTTGATTATAATATTTTAATGAATAGAAATTTTCTAAAATTCAAGGAAGAGATTAAATTGCAATGCTTAAATGCTCGTTTTCCGCTTGTATTTCAGCTAATTAAAGGCTGATAACACTGAACAAAGAGAATTTACGATATTTAGTTAGTAGTGCGGGAAATTGTACCAAAGGTAGACGTATAAAATTTTAGATACGTAGTATATATACACATATAAATATATATATATATATATATACAAATAAATAATATGTTCTTTCGCATTTATATAAATGTGTAGAGTTTATCAAGTCCGAAATAAATTCGATGATTTTTATAAACATTCATTTTATGTTCAAAAAAGAAATATCAAGTCGATATCTTGATAATAAATTGTTTTATATTTCTTGTAATATTAATCGATAGATGACGTCAATAAAACCGTGATTGCATAACTCAAAAATAAGACTTCACGTGGAGCGATTTAAGACGATTAATAAGGAAAAGCAAAAGATGATTAATAAGGAAAGAAATAATATTATTTATTTATGTAATGTAAAAAGTACGTAAAGAGCATTTAGTTAAGCTCGTTTAAAAACGCGATTTTAATTTATTTACAATTTCATCTATCCAAAATTTCGTGCAATCCGATTAAACAGGATACCGGTCGTATATTTCCTATACATAAACGGGAAATAATTAAGTAATATCCGCCGTTATAATGTTGATTTGAATTACCGCGAAAAATTGTAATAATCACTTTCAATGGTATAGGTATACATTTATCGTTCCTATTGCAATGATTACAGAAATGTAATTTGCAATACGTCAAACAAGTTGACTTACGATTGTAAACACATTTCCTCGCTATCGCAAAGATAAACAATTTTATCGCATTGAATTATCGCATCTGAAATTCGAAATGTTTTAAAAATTACGCGATAATGGTGATTCGCGTGACTTCATTGTTTCCACGTACAGAGAAAATGAATGAAGATTAAGCTATATCTTTTTATTACAGTGCGTTTAATATTTTATTACCAAAGAGTTTCTCGGTATGATACGTATATAAAAAACGTAGAGTAACATGTGTGTCGAATACGGCAGCCGAATGTGCATTTATCTACTGGAGTCTTTGATATGTATGTCGTCAGCATAGCGATGTGTCGATAGGATATGACTTCACGTCACACTTATGTGTCGAATTAATGTACCTACGTAAAATGTAAATATCTTTTTGTATCTTATTGTCCGTTTATATTTTATAGGAGAGAATACGAATAATGATTCATGTGTCCTAAATTATTCTCTATGTTTTTATTTTGCCTGAATATACAATTGAAGAGCCCAATTTAAAGATGTAAGAATCGGTCAGCTCCATTTTTTTGGCGAATTTTAATTTTCGAGTAGATTTAACGTACCAAACATTCTCTGCGTCTTTTGGTATAAGAAATGAATAACTCCGACAATTCCGAAAAAAGTGTATGATTTTTTTACATATTTCAACAATTTTCGTAAAATATTTTGTAAAATATACTTGGAAAAATAGGTTTCTGTTAAAATTGTAGTAAGTTTTAAAAATAAAGCTGATCGGTTTTTGTATCGAGCTCTTCAATTATAACTTAGATTTATAAGATTTTACAATAAGCCACTTTCATAGATCTGAACTAGTCGTTTCCTCAACAATATAAAAAATAATATAAAAAAAAAGATTTTATTAAATAGTAGTAACAACGCATATGAAATCAATTTTACATACATAAATAACAATTGAAAAGATTCATGATGAAATCTTACGAGTTTTAGCGCTCTGATTATAATATACAATAAATTATGCTATTTTCTTTTTTTATGCGATAAAGGTTTTTATCTGTTGTTGCATGAAAAATTTCTTTTCATTATTTTTCAAACTGTTTATCTAATATATCACATCATCAAAATACTTTTCCATTGATGAAAAACAATTTAGGGAAAATACAAATTGTTTCAGTGTTATGTGACGATAAAAATTTTTATTTACAAATGCGACAGATGTAGGAATTCGGGTACCAGTGACGTGCGGGAGAGAACCAATCGGCCGTCCACTGTAATGATTTTTAAAATATGCTTTGTCGCATTCCTCGTTTTTACTTTCGCTTTTCATCTCTCCAAAACATCACTGACGAAGGAAAGAATCACTGAGATGTAACAATAATAATCTTTACATTAAATACGATTAAAATCTAGCTATTTTAAGGGCTATTGTGGAATTACAATAATAGAAATATTTGGTATCTCACGGTTCCTCCTGTTTTGCCAGGATCTCTCAGGGATTAAGGGGAGAGGGATCGGTACGTAGGTGGGGTGTGTCAGGGGGCTGGGAATATAGCTTCTTTCTTGTTTAAAGATCAAAGGATAACATCACAGCATTGACATATCAACATCGAAACGGTCAGAGCAGCTCGTCCCTTGAAAATCACCGAAACGTTTGACGAGCTTCCGCTCGTTTAAAGATGTTTAAAGGTCGATATTCTAACGGGAAGAGAGATGTCCTCGTCTGCGTTTGTTCGAGGACTCTCGAGGAGCGCGTTGCAACAGCCGTAGCGCTTTTCACATTTGCTATAGAACAATTTACAACATCTCGTTAATTAAACGTCTCAATTCCATCTCCAAACAACTACACGCATTATACGCAAGCCATATTCTCTCATTTGCTCGTTCGCTCGCTCACGCACGCATGCATATTCTTTCTCTCTTTCTCTTCTTTTCTTAATCCACTGTACAGTCATCTTACGATCATTATAATTAGATGTACAATTGAATAACATATGACACAATTTAACGTAATAATTTACAAATATTTTATTTTTCTGTTTCTCTCTTTCTCATTCTCTCTCGCTTTCCTCATTATTGGTGCAACAATAGTGAAATAAATCTCTTCTTAAGAAAAACGGATGGATCGCGGGTGGATCACGTGGAGCATTCTACCACGTGCTATAAAACATTTGCGCGTTCATCAGTAGGCGACGCTGATCGCGCATTTGTGTGACAATAATATAGATAATATACAGAGAAAATCTTTGATCCGACGAACCAGCCACAAAAGGGAATTATCGAGGACGCTCGCGCGTGCACGAAGTTTATCATTTTTTTAACGATTCCTACACACGCGATCCAGAATTGCATCTAATCCTCGTACAAACGTCAGTCGGCCCGAATTGACGTCTCTCTCGTGATACATGCGTGAATTCTTTAACAATATGTATTAGCATTTTTAAAGAAGCTATGCTTTCGCGCTATCAATATTTATTTCGAAACTTCTTTCTGTTTTAAACAACTATTAATTAACAATTATCAATAATATATTTACAAAAAAGCTATACCGCATTTTTTTAAGTACTTATAAAAAGCTACAAATTAATCTAAATATAGATTACTTTTCGTAATACGTTAACTAGAGAATTTTCAAGTATTATTGATTTATAATAAAATTTATTATCTTAATTTATATTTACTTAAGAATAAAAAAACACATCAATTCGGGCCGATATATAACGCTGTAGCAGTCTTACACCGCATTTCCTCTTTTCGCTATATAGACATACTTTCGAAATCGCGTTACACCACCAACAATATTATGCCGTAAGCCTCGATACAAGGATAGAACATTTCATAGTATTTTAATCATACTGAGAGGATTTTCATTAGCCAAATGTTTCTCTCGCTTTATTGCGAGGGCACCTAAGGCCTGTGCTCAATCCTCGTTTGGACCTTCCAACCATATAGGGTTACATTCAATAAACACGTCGATGGGACGAACGAGGGAAATCGTCGTCGACGACTCGACGTATTAGTAGCATTGCAAGCTATAAAGACCGATAAAAATCCATAACGTTTACCACATCGACCACAAGTTCTTCTTAAAACTCTACTTAAAAATCTACGCGCATAATAGATTTTATTATCACAAATTGTAATTGTGACTAGAATTACTCTACAAATACGCTCTATGAATTAATGAAATAATCATTAATCAACTAAGCATTAATCAAATAATTATTCTAACGTGTAATCTATCAACAAAAATGATTTGTCGTCCCAAAGAGGTCTCTCGATCGTTCCCGCAATCCATCGTTACGACAATCAAAGTGATCGTCGTCGACGATTCCGCCACGATGAATCCGTTAAAATTTTACATCCCTGCGCACATTGTATAATGTCAAATTAGATCCGCGAATAGCTTCGAGATTTTTCATCTTGTATTCGAAGCTAAAAGAGATCTCTTAACTCCATCATCCTAATTACAAATCCGCGTGCACACGATGCGACAAAATACTTAGTCGTACAAGCAATTTAATTATCAATTATGAATCAAACAACATCAATCAATCGTTAAACTCTCTTTCCGTTCCAACAAATAAATATTTCGATCCTTAACTTTGCGAGCGAACGCATCGATCGCGTGAGAGCATCCGTCAACGGTGCAATACCGTAATCAACTAACTAAGCGAATAATTATTACATGCACACAGTGCGAGCCAACGAACCAAATTCCACGCAATTATCAGGTCAGTTCGCGCCCTACACGCGCACAATTCGTACAACAAATAGGATAAACTTATTCAAATCCTTGTGTCTAAATCGTCTGGATGGTAATTTCAACTTAAAGATGTTTACAAAACTTGACGGTATAAAACGATAGTTGGTGTAAAATGTTAACTATTCCCAGATAGCATGTGAATTCTATGAAACATTCTATGAATGTTCATTAAGAATATTCGTATGAATGAAACTCAAAACGAAATGTTTTCAAATATTCATGGTATGTTCATAGCATAATCATATCAAATGGCACAACTATAAACGTTTTATGAACATAAGTAGAATATTTTGTACAATATTTTATAGAATA